AAAATAAATATGGATTACGGAAAATGCAATTTAGCTTTAGTACTTGAGGAAATGTATGTTAATCCCGTGTGTCGTGTTGTGTTTACGGACAAACATAAACGAACACGGGCGACGTATACGGGAGGAAAATAGAACGATTTACATGTGAGGGAAGAACTGGGTTAATCTCAAAGGTTATCGGGGCGGAGTAAAGAGGTGTAAAGATGGAAAAATGAAAAGGCCTGGACCTGAAGCTGAACCGTGAGTTTTAAAAGTGTTTTAGGTTGAACTTTAAGCCCACGTGGTCCTTTTGTGTCGTCACTAACGCTGAAAAAATCTGGGAAAACTGAGAAAATGGTTTGGTTTTCTTCATCTAGATATCGAGGCCATGACAGTCTGGTTTAGTCCTGATTTAGACCTGGTTTTACTTCTGGTTTAGTCCTGGTTTTAGTCCTGGTTCAGTACTGGTATTAGTTCTGGTTTAGACCTGGTTTAATCCTGGTTTTAGTTCTGGTTTTGTCTTGATTCAGTTCTGGTTTAGACCTGGTTCAGTCCTGATTTTAGTCCTGGTTCAGTCCTGGTTTAGACCCGGTTTAGTCCTGGTTTAGACCTGGTTTAGTCCTAGTTTAGTCCAGGTTCAGTCTTGGTTCAGTCCCGGTTCAGTCCTGGTTCAGACCTGGTTTAATCCTGGTTCAGACCCAGTTTAATCCTGGTTCAGACCTGGTTTAATCCTGGTTTAGACCCGGTTTAGTCCTGGTTTAGTCCTAGTTTAGTCCAGGTTCAGTCTTGGTTCAGTCCTGGTTTTAGACCTGGTTCAGTCCTGATTCAGTCCTGGTTCAGTCCTGGTTCAGTTCTGGTTTAATCCTGGTTTAGACCCGGTTTAGTCCTGGTTTAGTCCTAGTTTAGTCCAGGTTCAGTCCTGGTTTTAGTCCTGGTTCAGTCCTGGTTCAGTTCTGGTTTAGACCCGGTTTAATCCTGGTTTCAGTCCTGGTTTCAGACCCGGTTTTAGTCCTGGTTCAGTCCTGGTTTAGACCTGGTTTAATCCTGGTTTAAACCTGGTTTAGTCCTGGTTTTAGGTCTAGTTTAGACCTAGTTAAGTCCTTGTTTAGTCCTGATTTTAGTTCTGGCTTAGTCCTGGTTTTACTCCTGGTTTTAGTCCTGGTTCAGTCCTGTTTTAGTCCTAGTTTAGACCTGTTTAATCCTGGTTTAGTCCTGTTTTAGTCCTGTTTTAGTCCTTGTTTAGTCCTTGTTTAGACCTGGTTTAGTCCTGGTTTAGTCCTAGTTTAGTCCCGGTTCAGTCCTGGTTCAGACCTGGTTTAATCCTGGTTTCAGACCTGGTTTAATCCTGGTTTAGACCCGGTTTAGTCCTGGTTCAGTCCTGGTTTAGACCTGGTTTAATTCAGACCTGGTTCAGACCTGGTTTAATCCTGGTTTAGACCCGGTTTAGTCCTGGTTCAGTCTTGGTTCAGTCCTGGTTTTAGTCCTGGTTCAGTTCTGGTTAGACCCAGTTTAATCCTGGTTCAGACCTGGTTTAATCCTGTTTTAGTCCTAGTTTAGTCCAGGTTCAGTCTTGGTTCAGACCTGGTTCAGACCTGGTTTAGTTCTAGTTTAGTCCTGGTTCAGTCCTGTTTTAGTCCTGCTTTAGTCCTGGTTTAGACATGGTTTAGTCCTGTTTAAGTCCTGGTTTTAGTCCTGGTCCAGTCCTGTTTCAGCTCTTTAAATAAGCCGTTTTAACAGAAACCACATTCACCCCTGAACTAAAAAATCCCCGCCTTTTGTTTTCATTTCGTTTTTATTTCTCTTTTTTTTTTTCCTGCTTCGCCGTCAAAGCCGACCGCTCCATTTGGCAGTCGCAATTGGAACCAGCGAATGTTTACCCGGCCTGATTTATTCCGACCTTAATCTTGCTGTCAGCGCTAATTTAAACTCGCCGCTCGTCCGCCTGCGGTCGCCTTAATTCGAACTAATTGCTTCAAAATTCAGCGTTGGCGGTTCATTCTTTACGACTCGATTTTTATTTTAAATTTTTTCTGTTTTGTCCGGGCGACGCTTGTTTTTTTTGTTGTGTTTTTTTTTTCAGAAGCGGCGTACAGGTCTGAGGAATAAGAAAGAAAAACACGCGCGTCATATTTCTAATGGAGAAACCCGGGCGACGCGGCGCAGTTAAAAAGCTATTTGCAGATTGGCAATTAAAGTTCCCGGAGCAAAGAGAGGAGAGGTGAATTATAAGACGGTTCGGTCGCGCCGCTTTCAAGTGCTCGCGGAATAAAAGCTTCTGAAAACAAACACGTGATCAGGACTAAACCAGGACTAAACCAGGACTGAACCAGGACTGAACCAGGATTGAACCAGGATTGAACCAGGATTAAAACCAGGATTAAACCATGTCTAAACTAGGTCTAAACCAGGTCTAAAACCAGGTCTAAACTAGGTCTAAACCAGGAATAAACCAGATCTAAACCAGGTCTAAACTAGATCTAAACCAGGTCTAAAACCAGGACTAAACCAGGACTAAACCAGATCTAAACCAGGGCAAAACCAGGACTAAACTAGGATTAAAACCAGGATTAAACCATGTCTAAACTAGGTCTAAACCAGGTCTAAAACCAGGTCTAAACTAGATCTAAACCAGGTCTAAAACCAGGTCTAAACTAGATCTAAACCAGGTCTAAAACCAGGTCTAAACTAGATCAGGACTGAAACCAAGTTCCTGGAGCAAAGAGAGGAGAGGTGAATTATAAGACGGTTTGGTCGCGCCGCTTTCAAGTGCTCGCGGAATAAAAGACCAGGACTTCTGAAAAACAAACACAGGACTACCAGGACTCAGGACTAAACCAGGACTAAACCAGGACTAAACCAGGACTAAACCAGGACTACTGAACCAGGACTGAACCAGGACTGAACCCTAAACCAGGACTGAACCCAGGACTGAACCAGGACTAAACCAGGACTGAACCAGAAGACTAAACCAGGACTAAACCAGGATTAAAACCAGAACTAAACCAGAAGACTGAACCAGGACTAAAACCAGGACTAAACCAGGATTAAACCATGTCTAAACTAGGTCTAAACCAGGTTTAAAACCATGTCTAAACTAGGTCTAAACCAGGTCTAAAACCAGGACTAAACCAGGACTAAACCAGATCTAAACCAGGGCTAAAACCAGGACTAAACTAGGATTAAAACAGGATTAAAACCAGGACTAAAACCAGAACTAAAACCAAGACTAAATCCAAGACTAAATCCAAGACTAAAACCAAGACTAAAACCAAGACTAAACCAAGACTCCAAGACTAAATCCAGACTAAAACCAAGACTAAAACCAAGGACTAAAACCAGGACTAAAACCAGGACTAAAACCAGGACTGAATCCAAGTTCCTGGAGCAAAGAGAGGAGAGGTGAATTATAAGACGTTTTTTCTGTAAACAAACACTTGACTCTTTGTGGACGTCTTGATTTTGGTACAAAATTAACTTGAGATTTTGGAGCAGGAAGAACCCGGAAAACACCAGAACACAAATGGGTAATGAGGGAAATGTACTGAGCCAGAAAATAAAACACTAAATAATTTTAAAAGTAGTTTTTTTATTTGTTGTAGTACCTTATCTTCAGTAACCTTCCTTTTTAAATATTTAATGTGAATCATTAGATATATTGATTACATGACTCGGGCTGGTGTCATTAACAAGTTGCCGATACGCAGTGTTGGGAGTGTTACTTTTAAAATGTAATCCCCTACAGATTACAGATTACACACACCAAAATGTAGTTTGTAACAGAATCCATTAAATTACTTAAAGTGAGTAATGTAATCTGAATACTTTGGATTACTTTTTTTTTGGTGGCCATAAAGTCTGATCCGTCAGGTCTCAGAAGCTCAGCAGGACCGGGTCTGGTCTGGTCTGGTCTGGTCTGGTCTGGACTTCGATGGGAAACCGGTGGGAAAATCAGGGGCCACAGGGGGGCGCCAGTCACAAAGAACTGTCATTGTGTCCTTAGGCAAGACACTTGACCTCTCGTTGCCTATATGAAAGTGGTGTGTGTGTGTGAGTGATGGTGGTGGTGGGAGGAGCCGATGGCGCAGATTGGCGGCCAGATTGGCGCTTCTGTTAGTCTGCCCCAGGGCAGCTGTGGCAGACTGGTAAATTACTGGAGTGAATGAATGAATGAATGAGTAATGGTCTGTAAAGCGTCTTTGAGTGTCCAAAAAAGCGCTATATAAAACTAATGCATTATTATTACTTGATGTTGTCGTGCTTTTTAAAAGTACATGAACGTCCCAACCACATCCTGAACATTCTTGTTTGTTCTCTTCAAATTGTCTGTTGAACTCAAGTCTCCAAGACTTCAAACAAAGACTTTTGTTTGCTGTAGAGAAACAAAGACGAGGATCTTAACATAAAATGTTTTGTTTTATCTGCTAAAAGAAAATAAAAAGCCCAGACTTTACTTAAACATATTAAAAATATTATAGATAGAGGAATGATTTCTGTATGAGATCATCTTAAATTATGTCCACCTACTGTTAGTGTCATATTGTTTAGACCTGGTTTAGTCCTGGTTTAGACCTGGTTTTAGTCCTGGTTTAGTCCTGGTTTTAGTCCTGGTTTTAGACCTTGGTTTAGTTTAGACCTGGTTTTACCTGGTTTAGTCCTGGTTTAGTCCTGGTTTTATCCTGGTTTAGTCCTGGTTTAGTCCTGTTTAGTGGTTTAGTCCTGGTTTAGTCCTGTTTAGTCCTGGTTTAGTCCTGGTTTAGTCCTGGTTTAGTCCTGGTTTAGTTTAGTCCTGGTTTAGTCCTGGTTTAGTCCTGGTTTAGTCCTGGTTTTAGTCCTGGTTTTTTAGTCCTGGTTTAGTCCTGGTTTAGTCCTTGGTTTAGTCCTGGTTTAGTCCTGGTTTAGTCCTGTTTTAGTCCTGGTTTAGTCCTGGTTTAGTAAATAGAAACGTCTGGTCTCCTTAGCGTGGAAAAAAAAATCTATACTTTTCTTATTGGTCTAATCGTTGTGTCACTTTTGTTTTGCAGTTTTGGACCTGCCGCTGTGCCAGGACACCCAGGACCAGGACGACAAGCCCCTCCCCCCTTACGCCCTGCACCCCCACCCCGGCCTGTGGAGCCCCAAGACCCGCCGCCTCGAGGTGTCCGTCATCCCCCGGCCCCGCCCCTCCCCCGTCCGCCACCGCATCGACCCCTGGAGCTTCATCTCGGCCGGCGGCGGCGGAGGAGGAACCGCCAACGCCAACGCCGCGCCCGCCCGCACCCCCCCCACCCGGGACCCCCACTTCGGATACCAACCCTCCCCCACCAACCCCTTCACCAGCTGCGACCCGTTCCCCTCCCCGGACTGCGACCCGTTCTCGCTCAAGGCGGACCCGGCCGGCGGCCGCGAGTCCTCGGCGTTCGACCCGTTCTGCGCGCCCTTCCCGACGTCGCGCTCGGCCCCGTGCTCGGCGAACGGGTCCCCCACCCTGCCCACGTTCCGGATCGCGCCGCTGAACCCCGCCGACTCCCCGCTCATAGACTTGGGGTGGGCGGCGAGGGGCGGCGAGGGAGCCAAAGAGAGAGCCCTGCCGCGGAAAACGCTCGGGCTGAAGCCGTTCAAATCGCCGACGCAGCTACGGGACGACCGCTTCTAGACGAGAGGAAAAAAAAAAACAAAAAAACGGACGGTCGGCGCGAATCAGTCCACGAGAGTTTGGGACAGATAAATTATTCCAAGTGTATCAGAGAAGCAGACGTTAAAATAAAACAAGTTTGTTCTTTTAGAGCTTTGTACCTTCGGGAAACTGGGTATTTTGAAGAACTTTTATGAAAAAAAACGAAAAGATATCGGTGAGATTATACGTTCATTCCAAGTCGATTCACTTCGTATTCCATGTCACTTTTCTCAAATCACAAATAAATGTCTTTTTTTTCAAACATTTTCACGCTGTAAAAAAAAATAATTTGGTGTGTGTAATTGAACAGTGTTGAACTTTTAATTGAAAAGTATAATTTTTCGAGCACTGAGCGTCTTAAATTGGTTTTCTCGAAGCGTAAAGGTAAAGTTGAAGATAATTTGTTTAATCAGATGTAGAATTTTAAATGCCGTTGAATTTTTTCTTACTTTCACTTTCACATGATTGAATTATGTTTAGTTACTGAAATTTTAAGTGTACCTATTAAAATATTCCTCCCAAATTCCAAATGCATCGCAAAAAATGTTCAAACCTCAAATTCAACAGACAAAGTTCAGAGCATAAAATCTGCAGTGAAAAAAATTTGCAGGAAAGATCCAAGATTAATATTATTTTCTACTTATTCCAAAAAATCTACAAATTTCTGATGGTGTGAAAATTTGTGTGTCTCGTCCCACCCCTAATTTTGAGACTTTCTGAGCCAAGTACGACCAGTAAATAATCTTCTTAGATCGAATTATGCCCAACCAGGATATCGACTGAACCGATATTTGGGAAGCCGATATCTGATTTAGTTCTGGTGTAGACCTGGTTTTAGTCCTGGTTTAGTCCTGGTTTTAGTCCTGGTTTAGTCCTGGTTTTAGTCCTGGTTTAGTCCTGGTTTAGTCCTGGTTTAGTCCTGGTTTAGTCCTGGTTTTAGTCCTGGTTTTAGACCTGGTTTAGTCCTGGTTTAGTCCTGGTTTAGTCCTGGTTTTAGTCCTGGTTTAGTCCTGGTTTTAGTCCTGGTTTAGTCCTGGTTTTAGTTCTGGTTTTAGTCCTGGTTTAGTCCTGGTTTTAGTCCTGGTTTTAGTCCTGGTTTAGTCCTGGTTTAGTCTGGTTTTCCTGGTTTTAGTCCTGGTTTTAGTCCTGGTTTAGTCCTGGTTTTAGTCCTTTTAGTCCTGGTTTAGTCCTGGTTTAGTCCTGGTTTTAGTCCTGGTTTAGTCCTTGTTTTAGACCTGGTTTAGATCTGATTTAGTTCTGGTGTAGACCTGGTTTTAGTCCTAGTTTAGTCCTGGTTTTAGTCCTGGTTTAGTCCTGGTTTTAGTCCTGGTTTAGTCCTTGTTTTAGTCCTGGTTTTTTAGTCCTGGTTTTAGTCCTGGTTTAGTCCTGGTTTAGTCCTTGTTTTAGTCCTGGTTTAGTCCTGGTTTTAGTCCTGGTTTTAGTCCTGGTTTTAGTCCCAACCAGGATATCGACTGAACCGATATTTGGAAGCCGATATCCGATCCAGCAAAATTTATCAGTAGTGGCGCTGATTTCCGATCATGTCCGATATTAGTGTAGGTTCTGAAGACGTTTGGAAACATGTGGATGACGACTTTTGATGTACTTACCGATCCTGGGCATGAAACGATCTATAATACATAAAAAAAATAAAAATAAATAAAAAAATTATTATATTTTCTTATGGTTTAGGTTCTACGTGATAAAATTGTGGATTCAGCAGCAGCGCCGTCTTCACAACCTGACAAAACTTTCCACGGAGGACGGGACTAAATCGGATCTTCGAAGTCACCTACACTTACTTTTTTAAATTAAATTTGACAAATAATAATAGACAAATGAATTGGTAGTTTACAAAAGGAAAAAAAGAAAAAGTACAATGACGTCTGGATGAAGAAAACCGAGCCATTTTCTCAGTTTTTTTTCAGATTTTGTTAGACTTTCGCCGACAGAGCCCAAAGGAAGTCGTCATCTGCATGTTTCCAAACATCTGCGATTCATATGTCCAACCGGGATATCGACTGAATCCGATATTTGGAAGCCGATATCTCATCCAGCAAAATTTCTCAGTATTGCCGCTGATATCCAACAGTAGTTTAGGCTCTAAAGACGTTTGGAAACATGCGGATGACGACTTTTGGTATAGTTATCGACACTGGGCCTGCATGGATCTATAATACAAACTTTTTAAAAACATTTTTATTATATTTTATTATAGTTTAGACGTTATGGTTTAGGTTTTAAGTGATAAAACCGTGGATTCAGCAGCAGCGTCTTCACAACCTGCCAAAACTTTTCCATGGGGACGGGAATCTAATCGTGTCTTCGATGTCACTTACAGACAGCTGGTTTTAACATAAAGAAACGCTACAATTCCATCTTTTTTTTTTACATTAAATTAAAATTTTAGACAAATAATAATACACAAATAAATAGGCAGTTTATAAAAAGAAAAAAGAAAGAATGCGATGACACCTAGATGAAGAACTATCGCCAACAGAGCCCAAAGGAAGTCGTCATCTGCATGTTTTCAAATGTCTGCTGGTTTTGTGACGTAATAGAGCCTCTTAAATCGATTCATATGTCCAACCAGGATATCGACTGATCCGATATTTGGAAGCCGATATCCAATCCAGAAAAAATTCTCAGTATTGGCGGCGATGTCCAGCACTAGTTTAGGCTCTGAAGACGTTTGGAAACATGCGGATGACGACTTTTGGTATAGTTATCGACACTGGGCCTGCATGGATCTATAATACAAACTTTTTAAAAAACTATTTTTTATTATAGTTTAGATTTTATGGTTTAGGTTTTATGTGATTCATCAGCAACATCTTCACAACCTGACAAACTTTCCATGGGGACGAGAATCTAATCGTGTCTTCGAAGTCACTTACAGACAGCTGGGTAACTGTTAATCTTCCGAACATAAAGAAACGCTCTTTTTTTAAAATCAAATGTTATTAAATTAGACAAATTCTAATACACAAATTAATAGGGAATTCATAAAAAGAAAAAAGAAGGAACACAATGACACCGAGATGAAGAGTTACTTTCGCCAACAGAGCCCAACAGGAAGTCGTCATCTGCATGTTTCCAAACGTCTGCCACGTTTGTGACATAACACAGCCTCTTACATCCATTCATAATTATGTCCAACCAGGATATCGACTGAACCGATATCTGGAAGCCGATATCCGATCCAGCAAATTTTTCAGTCTTGGCGCTGATATCTGATCCGAAACATGCGGTGGACGACTTCAAGTGTAGTTACTGACACTGGGCCTGCATGGATCTACAATAAAAACGTTTTTTTTTTTTTTTTACTTTTTAAAAATTATATTTTATTATAGTTTAGATGTTATGGTCTAGGTTCTATGTGTGAGCAGCAGCGTCTTCACAACTTGCCAACATTTTCACGGGGTGTGGGACTCTAATTGCATCTTCAGTGTCACTTACACTTTTTTTTTTTTAAAAGTTTGACAAATTATAATACACAAATGAATTGGTAGTTTAAAAAAGGAAAAAAGAAAGAACACAATGACATCTAGATGAAGAAAACCAAGCCATTTTTTTCTTTTTTTTTTCAGATTTTGTTAAACTTTCGCCGACAGAGCCCAAAAGAAGTCGTCATCCACGCGTTTCCAATCGTCTTTTGGTTTTGTGACGTAAGCGTGAATAGAGCCCATTACATCGATTCCTACGTCCAACCGGGATATCGACTGAACCGATATCTGGAAGCCGATATCCAATCCAGCAAAATTCTCAGTATTGGTGCTGATATCCAATAATATCCGATGGTAGTACAGGTTCTGAAGATGTTTGGAAACGTGCGGTTGACAACTTCCGGTGTAGTTACCGACACTGGGCCTGCATAGATCTATAATAAATGTTATGTTTTTAGGTTTTATATGGGCGTGTCATAAAGAGTTAGGTTTATAAAAAAAAAAAAAAAAGAATACAATGACATTTAGATTAAAAAAAAGTTACTATCGAAGTCATCATCCACATGTTTTCAAACGTCTATTGGTTTTGTGGCATAAGCGTGAATAGAGCCCATTACATCGATTCATATGTCCAACCAGGATATCGACTGAACCGATATTTGGACGCCGATATCCAATCTAACAAATTTCTCAGATTTCCGATACTAGTTTAGGCTCTGAAGACGTTTGGAAACATGTGGATGACGACTTCCGGTGTCGTTACTGATACTGGGCCTGCGTGGATCTGTAATAAAAACTTTTATTTTTATTATATATATATGTATTTTTTTTATATTAAGTTAGACAAATCATAATACACAAATGAATACGCCATAAAAAACAAAATCTAACCAAGTTAAGATGAGCTGAATTCAAGTTTTATCATGATTTAAGTAAATTTCACTTGACAAGTAAAATGATTTGCCAGTGGAATAAGACTTTTTGTACTTGAAATATGAAAATACATCTTAAAATAAGAAAAACAACAACTTTTTGCACTTAAAATAAGAACCTAAGTCAGATGTTGCTCGAATTAAGAAAAACACTTGTACCGTTGGTAGATAATTTTACTTGTCAAGTTGAATCGACTCAAAAAAATCGGATGTTTTTAATTTAAGTCTTTTTAACTTGCCTAGATTTTTTTTCCCAGTGTAGGCAATTTATACAAGGAAAAAAGAAAATATAATGACATTTAGATGAAGAAAACCAGGTCATTTTCTCAGTTTTCCCAGATTTTGTCAGAGTTTCTATCGCCAACGGAGCCCGAAGGAAGTCGTCCTCCGCAAACGTTTCCAAACTTCTTCCAGTTTCATTCGTATCTCCAACGAGGATATCGACTGAACCGATATTTGGAAGCAAAATATCCGATATCAGTATACCAGTATTGTATCGGTGCATCCCTAAGTTCTCCATTATTGACTAGTCATTACAATTCAGTGTGTTTGTTTTATTTTTATTCATGTTCCTCCTGTCTGCTTCTCCAAATAGAGCTGAGACAGAATAATTTATCTGTTCTAAATGACACGATACACTTTCTTAAGACAGAGTGACCAGATTTTTTGGTGGTTGGTGATAACAAAATGGTGAAACGAGTCGTAATTACGGAAAATTGTTAAGCAGAGACCATTCACGACTAAAATGTGAGTCAATATAGTTGGATTTTCTTCGAGTTTTGGTCGTTTTTAAGCAGCTTTTTTGTGTTTTGCTGAAACAAATGACAATTTATGTGTCTCTTTATGCTTGTCGGGGATCAAATTGGTCAAAAATCGAGACGTTTCTTGTGTAAAACTTGGACAAATCACTAGTTTTGGATGAATCTGGTGGGACAAAGCTCAAAATTGGGAAAACTGGGAAGTCTGGTCACCTTATCTTAAGAAAATACACAATTAGAACAGTAAACGCACACAGCAATCGATCACAAACACACACACGGACACACAGATTTCTATTTTTTCCCGAGATCGGATCTTTACTTCACTCCTGGACCTGCTACATCTGCCGTCTGCCTGACAATCCCTCGCCTTGGAACTGCTGTGACTCTATAA